CTGATCTGAATGTAGAATTATTGTTAAAAATTGTTAAAAGTAAGTTGTCATTGAACTTCAATAAATGCAAAATCAACGTTTATATTAACTGGTAAGAAAGATTCAGGATATCAGCTTAAACAAGATGATCCCTCCGCCTTGAAGGAAATCATTCAACAAGTCCAGGTTGAAATAAGTAAGAAGGATCCGAAGAGTTTTGGGTAAGTGACATTGATCTTTAGCAACGCTTATTTTAAATTGGTAATAACACCACTTTAATAAACAGTTTTCGTACAAAATTCATGATTGAAACAATCATGAATTTAAAAAATAATCGCCTAAAACAGCAATCTTTAGTTGTAAATACGGAATGTATATTAAGAATGAAGAAATTCCTTGCAAATTTAGGCAAGAGGATTCATGGTATATATAAATCATTCGTGAAATTTCTTTAGTTTTATTACCGATATTAATCTCTTTGATCCAAAGTTCAGATGACTGAAGCATTGAGAGTTAGTCTTGATGATATTAGGTCAATTGACACTAAAGGTAAGTTAACGTTTTTTTTCTTCTTGCATAAACATTATTTAACCTTGTCATTATAAAAGGCAAATGGTGGCTTGTTGGTTCGTCGAGCACTGCTAATGTGACTGATAGTCAAATCACATATCTAACCCGTCATCCGGAAAGTAGTTCTGTTTCTGAAGCTTTTTTAAACTTGGCTAAACAACAAAAAATGAATACCGATGTTCGAAGATGCATTTTTGTAGTTTTAATGAGTAGTGAGGTAAGTAATACACGATTCGTCCGATCGATCTTTAATATTATGAAGCTAATTTTAAATGCTTAGGACTATATTGATGCATTCGAGAGACTATTGAAACTTGGTTTAAAGGAAGTTCAAGCGCGAGAAATCCCTCGAGTTTTACTTCACTGCTGCGGCAATGTATTTACCAAATGTATATCTAAATATTATGAAAATTATAGCATTAACAAAGTGTCTTTATTCTCAGGAAAATACACCTAATCCATACTATTCTCTAATTGCGCAACGTCTTTGTGATTACGACCACAGTTTTAAAGTAACTTTCAAATACTGTCTGTGGGACTTTCTCAGAGAATGTGGTGAAGGTGATGTTGGTGGGATAGGTGAAACAATGAACAACATACCTGAAAATAATTCATCAGAAAAAATTTCACTAAGAAGGATTGTTAATTTAGCAAAGCTTTTTGCTTGGTTAATTGTGAATGGAGGATTGTCTATTATAATTTTAAAGGTAAAGTCTAAACCAAGCAAACTTAAAAATCAATCAGTAGTCTAATTCTTTACTTGTTTTGCAGACTGTCACTTTCACTAAATTGCAGTCTCAAAGCCGTTTATTTTTCCAACTCCTTTTTTCGAACATTATTTTAATTCAAAATGCTAATGGACGTAAGCCTAAATTACTCGCCAAAATTTTTATAAATGCGGTCCATAATCCAATATTGGCGCAAGAAATGATGTTTTTTTTACACCATTTTGTTAAAACGGGAGATATTTTAAAAGAAGAAGAGAAAGAAACAGTTGAGTGGGGATGCGATATTGTTAAAAAAGTGATACAGACAAGCCTAAATGCAGAAAAGATTGTGTAGTGATAATACTTTCAATACATTATCTGAACAGTTAAATACATAAAAGTAAAAAGCTTAACTCATCTCAATTCTCTAAAAAAAAAATCAATTCATTATATAATTTATTTATAAATTTTATAAGTCTGGTTAATAATTTACATATATAAATGTTGATTTTGCATTTATTGAAGTTCAATGACAACTTACTTTTAACAATTTTTAACAATAATTCTACATTCAGATCAG